AAGATATGGACGGATGCCCACTTCTAGTCTCTTGCCTGTGCCACTATTGGATGCTGTCAGTAACAATGCTGATTCCATGGGGCCACCACCCAGTCTTGGACTATGTATTCCCAGAACCATGATCTCAAGCAAAACTCTTTCTTTTATAAAACTAGGCTGCCTCAGGTATTTTATTATAGTGTTGAAAAGCTAATCTAGGCTCCATGCACTTGCTCTCTTAACAAAACCATTGATTCATTACAAGCTAAATACACGAGTCCTCAGCTACCAGAAATCAGGAAATATGTAAGCTCATACAACTAACTAAAGTCTTTTTCTAATTTTAGAAAGTTCTGGAGTTTCCCGTGCAATCAGAAAACTCAGGTTGGAATCCTGACTCCATCACTTCCCGGGTCCTTGGCCTTGAATCATTTCAGTTTTCAGAGACCAGGTTTGCTCATCTGTGTGATGGTGAGGAGTCAGAGAGCTAAGGTGCCTGGCATCGTGCCCGGCTGTGAAGTTAGAGTGCAGGCATGTGATTATTATTCACATGTAGAAGTGGAACAGCAGGTCCTACTAGTGCAAGGCAAAAAGAATTGCTACCTTTTCTGTCTTATCTAAGTTCAAGGTAAAGACCCAGTATTCCCAGAACACCAGACTGCGTGGAAAAAGTTACTGATGTGGACATTCATCGTATTTCCTTCCTGGTCAGTTCCCTTGGAACATCCCTTCTATGACTGGGGTGGTAACTCAGAAAACCTGCCTCCCAGGCTGCTTTGCAGGCATGCTACAACGAGGCCAGGTCTCCCCAAGCACATTAGACTCAGCCGTAGATAGTGGAGGACATCAGCTCCGTGGAGAGCCTCCTCACTGTGGCAAACATTCCTGCAAGCTTGAAGTCCTGGGCTTCTGTGCCGCGGCCTGTGGACGTTTCAGCATTGTTGTCCTGCTGGCAGAACTGCAAACTGGGGGCCGGTGCTGTGGTGTCGTGAGTGAGGCTGCCACCTGTGGTGTCAGTGTCCCGTGTGGGTGCTGGTTCATGTGCCTGCTGTTCCACTTCCAATCTAGCTCCTTGCTGATTGGCTTGGAAAGCAGCAGAAGATGGCCCAAGTGCTTGGGCCCCTGCCACCCACGTGAGAAAGCCGGATGGAGTTCCAGGCTCCTGGCTATGGTCTGGTGCAGCCTCAGCTGTTGCATCCATTTAGGGAGTGAACTAGTGGATGGAAGACCTCTTTCTGTATCCCTGTCACTCTGCCTTTCAAAGATAAATCCTTTATTTTAAAAAAATCCTTTACCCTCCATCCTAAGCACTTCTTCCGCTGCCTGCTCCTTCCAGGGTGCTATGGGCGTTGTTCCGTTTGGAACCCACACAGGTGTTTTTTCCACTGGCACCTGGGATCTCTAATTTCGTTGTTGGTCACTAGGTGCGCATTTCTGAAACAAGTGTCCCCTTTTCCTTCTTCTTCCAAAACTGCTAATAGGAGGCTCTTTGAGCAATGGGTGTGTTTCAAGTGCCCAGGATAATAGCAGCATAAGCTGAAATCCCGTACTGCCCATGAACTTCTCCAGGAGAGGGGACTTCTCACCCTTCCGGAGGCCCTGGTTCTGTGTGCTGTGCTCCCCCTCCCCGCCCTTCTTCCTTTCAGAGCACAGTCCCTCTCCAGGCTCTGGCTCACAGCTTTAAAGTTTCTGGAGATTTTTTTATGTAGAAAATATTGCCTAAATGTTTTCCCTACAGCCTCTGCCTAAGCTACCTTGCATTTCAAAGTCAAATACATCCCTCTGGGTATTCCCCCAAAGGCGAGCCTGCTCAGACTTCCAGGAGCTCTTGACTGTAACACTGTCTTAGTTTAGTTCTGCTGGTTTTGTTTATGAACTGATGGTGCAAGTCGCATTATGAGCCAAGCTGTATTGTGTTGACACCTCTCAGGTAGCAGGAAGGCTTTACATGTGAAACGTTGTCTGCCTTCCAATAGTTAAGACCAAAGGCTGGCATTTGTTGCAAAATAATACAATGGTTATGAAAAGGGGCACCTGCTCTGGCACTAACTCGGTGACCCTGCATGAGTTTCTTCCTCTCTCGCAAACTGAATTGGCCCATTCTTAAGGAGAGCTCTGTCATAATGATAGCATCTGCCCTTCAGTGAGGATAAAAATGAGATAATCATCAAAACTTATTACTGGACTTAGTCTGTAGTATGTGCTCAATAAATAGTAACTATTTTAGTTATTTTATGAAGGAATCCTAGGTAACAAGAGATTTATACCTTCACAGGATAGTGCGTTTTTTTAAGAATGATTGATTGATTTAAGAGTTACAGAGAGGGAAAGACAGAGATCTCCCATCTGTTGGTGTGCTCCCCAAATGGCTGCAAAGGCCAGGGCTGGACCAGGCCAAAGCCAGAAGCCAGGAGCTTCTTCCATGTCTCCCGTGTGGGTGCAGGGGCTGTCTTCTGCTTTCCCAAGCACATTAGCAGGGAGCTGGATCGGAAGTGAAGCAGCCAGTACTCGAACCAGTGCCCATATGGGATGCCAGCATCACAGGCGGCTGCTTAACTGCTCTGCCACAACTCTGGCCCCCCTATAGTGTGTCTTTTAGAAATGCTTTTGATTGGCTGGTGCCACGGCTCATGAGGCTAATCCTCCACCTGCGGTGCCGGCACACTGGGTTCTAGTCCCAGTTGGGGTGCTGGTTCTGTCCCAGTTGCTCCTCTTCCTGTCCAGCTCTCTGCTGTGGCCCAGGAAGGCAGTGGATGATGGCCCAAGTGCTTGGGCCCTGCACCCGCATGGGAGACCAGGAGGAAGCACCTGGCTTCTGGCTTCAGATCAGCGCAGCGTGCCAGCTGTAGCAGCCACTTGGGGGGTGAACCAACGGAAGGAAGACCTTTCTCTCTGTCTCTCTCTCTTACTAACTCTGCCTGAAAAAAAAGAAAGAAAGAAAGAAAGAAAGAAAGAAAGAAAGAAAGAAAGAAAGAAAAGAAAAGAAAAGAAAAGAAAAGAAAAGAAAAGAAAAGAAAAGAAAAGAAAAGAAAAGAAAGAAATGCTTTTGATTGCAAAGAACAACAAACTTGACCTGCAATTGGAGGTTTATTTAGTCTTACAGAACATGATCGGGAATTGATGATTTAAGGCTGATTCAGTGTTCAGCAGCATCATGGAAGATCCTGTCTCCTGTATTTATGCTGTTCTCAGAGTGTGATTTTCACCCTTAGACCCATGAGAGTCATGGTCACAAGATGGCTACTTAACCACTACCCCTCACAACCACATTCCAGGCTGGAAGAAAAAAGAATGATGAAGGGACAAAAACTTCCTCATATTAAGGATTTGCCTTTCATGCAGGAAGTGATGGCCTCCCCGGGCCTTCTGCTCACATCCCATTAGCCAGAACAGCGTCACAAGTCCAGCCCTCACCGTAAGGAAGAGTGGAAAGTTAACCTTCTAGGCCAGCGCCGCGGCTCAATAAGCTAATCCTCCTGCTGTGGCACCGGCACCCCGGGGTTCTAGTCCTGGGGCGCCAGATTCTGTCCAGGTTGCTCCTCTTCCAGGCCAGCTCTCTGCTGTGGCCCGGGAAGGCAGTGGAGGATGGCCCAAGTCCTTGGGCCCTATACCAGCATGGGAGATCAGGAGAAGCACCTGGCTCCTGGCTTCGGATCAGTGCAGTGTGCGGGCTGCAGCGCGCCGGCCATAGTGGCCACTGGGGGTGAACCAACAGCAAAAGGAAGACCTTTCTCTCTGTCTGTCTCTCTCTCTCTCTCTCACTGTCCACTCTGCCTCTCAAAAAAAAAAAAAAGTCCCTGACTCTTGCCAAAAAAAAAAAAAAAAAGAAAGAAAGTCAACCTTCTAGCATCTTTGCCTCAGTAGAAGATAAAAACAAGACAAAAGTATGGGAATGGATGTATTGATTCAATCTATATCATGTGTCACAAGAAAGTAGTATAACTTGCAATGTAGAGATGGCCAACTTCTAAGAAGGTGGGGTCATTGCTCCACCCCAGGGGCCTAGGGAAGCAGGATTGGCCGTGTGGGAATATGCCTAATTGTTTAAACTCCAGCCAGACCTCAGAGAGCAAAAAACCTACTGCTGCTCCCTGTTACTCTTCACTAGCACCTACCGCAGGACTGTTAAGGGACTAGGACTAGAGAGCTGGCTGATACACAGTGTCGTCGTCAGTGGTGGAGGCACATGTGATTGTCAGAGTGTGATATTGTTACCTACACTGACAAGCGCAGGTGATGCTATGGGGAAAATGCAGAAGAGGGACTCTGGCTCTGAATGGAGAATCAGAAGCAAAAGGAGGTGACATTGGAGCTATGTTTTGGTAGATGACAAAGATTTGGTAAGGAAAACAAGCAGGGGAAAAGGTATTACAGGCAGAGGCAACATGTGCAAAGACCGGAAGGAAGGAGAACACCCAAGTGGCTCAAAGAACCCTCAGGAGTTTGTTGGGACTAGAGGAGCTTCAGGTCCAAGTTAGGACCTGATGAGAAACAGGACTAGGGAAGCAGGCTGGGGCTGGTCCAGGAGTCTGTCAGACTAAGACATTTGTATGTAAGTGTTGCAGAAAAATCAACACAGGGAATAATATGTGTAAATTTATACCTCATGTTGCTGTAGCAGGCAACGTAAAAGGTGGACTGGAAGGAGGAAGGATAGCTGGAAGTAGTTAGCAGAATCAGGGAGAAACAGCGAGTGTGTGAGCCAAGTGGGGCTGAAGGACATCAAGAGATTTGGGAGACACGCAGGACGTAGAATCAATAGGGCTGGCGGCTGATTGATCTGTGTATTAGTGAGAATTCAGAGGAGACCCCACATTTCTGGCTCAAATAACTGGGTACACACAGTGCCTCATGGTGAGAAAGTGAGTAGTAAAGGCAGTTTTGGGGGAGAGGGGATGGGTTTGATCCAGGACAAGGAGATTCAGCGTCTTTGTAGAACACGTAAATGCATGTTCCTTGGAGGCAGAAGTCAGGAAAGTGGTCTGGGCGGAAGATGCTGATTTATCGTCTCCAAAGCGGTGATGGTTGAAGGCTCTGAGATGGACGTGCACACCCACCCCAGGGAGAGTGCGGAGCCCAGTGCCTTCACCATCTTTGTGAGCCCTCTCTTGTCCAGAAAGAATGTTACAGTGAAGGTTTTAAAAAAATAAAGCAATGTGAAGTTATTTCTATGTAAACTTTGCAAATCAAGCTAAAAGTGACCTTTTTAAAAAAGATTTATTTATTTGAAAGAGTTACAGAGAGAGGGAGGGACAGTGAATCTGTGGATTCACTCCCGATGTTGCCACAATGGCCAGGGCTGGGCCAGGCTGAAGCCGGAAGCCAGGAGCTTCATCCAGGTCTCCCACATGGGTGGCAGGGGCCCAAACACTTGGGCCACCTCCCACTGCTTTTCCCAGACCATTAGCAGGGAGCTGGATCAAAGTGGAGCAGCCAAGACATGAATCAGTGCCCACATGGAGTGCCAGCACTGCAGATGGTGGATTTACCTGCTGTGCCACAACAGCAGCCTGGAAAAGTTACGTTTTTAATCAGAGGACTTAGGAAGGTAAAGCCAGTGGGTGTGGAAGGCAGCCTCCCAGACAGCTCTCAATGCTGTGCACCTGGGTGTCCCACGCTGTGTTGTGCTTTCCTGCATTCTTAGGGGAGACTAGGGCAGAAGAGAAGGCATGTCCGTGGCATCATCTACCCTGGGGAAGCAATGTCAGGGGCAGCCCAGAGACAGGCCCACATAATGAAGAACCCAGACCTCCAGCCAACAGTCCTATGTGTGCCCGTTTTGGAAGCAGATCTTCCAGCTCCTGTCGAGCCTTCAGATGAGACAGCCCCTGCTGACCTCGGATGGCAGTGGGGCGAGAACTCTGGCCTGCAACACCCGGCTCAGGTGCTGGGACTGCTGCCACTCAAACAACAGGTGAAACAATGAACGAATCCTCAGTAAGGCAACGAAGCACTCAGCTTTGAAGCCACCGAGTTTTGGGGTAATTTGTTACACAACTATGGAGAATTATGTAAACTAGGACACAGTAATTTGTATAAAGTAATTTTATGTCTTATTTTCATGAAAGTAGAATTCTTTATGACTATTTCAGTCCTTTGATTTAATATTCTAGTTGCTATCAAAATAATTGTAGATTTTATTGCCATTCTTGGGACATAGCAGATCTTAAGTAAGTTTCAAATAAATTTTAATTTTGTGAAGTTCTATTCCGTGGTGTGGAGAAATAATTCAGTAGCACAGCATCCTAAATGTTTATCATTTAGAACAATATATAGTAGCAAGCTGCTGAATTTTAATAATAGCTAAAAAATTGTACTTGTGACAATTTCTTAGCTAAAATGATGATTGCTATAAAGTGCCTTATCATTACTTAGTTATTTCTAATTTATTTCACTATAATAGTTACTTCTGTTAATTATTTACGATAAATAACTATGGGTTGTTATGTCACAATTGTGGATTTAAAATGTGAACTCAGCAATGTTATCCCCATAGAGTAAAATGAGAAATGAAATGAATTGCAGCATGAAACACCAGATGTAACCAGTACATAATATCAGGAAGGGATTTGTTGCTCACTTTGTGCCCATCACTGATTAACTCAGTCACCCATGAAAGGAACAACTTATTTTGAAACTCAGATCAGTTAAGGCCAGATAAACAGTCCCTTCCTCCTTAATGAATTCAGCTGGCATTGTTTCTGTTTACCCTGTTAGAACAAGGCACTTTACTTCCATGTGCTGGGAACATTTTATATCAAGGGAACAAATTATCATCTTTGGAGGAAAAATGCCAAAAAAAAAAAAAAAAAAAAGCAAGCCTAAGGACTAAAGGTGTGTCTGATGGGACTAGCATGGTGATCATGCAAGATACACACCAGAACTCGTGTACCTGGTGGTCCTGAGGGTACAGGCTGAGACAAGGTGGAAAGCTGGGTGTGCTGCCCCTTGTCCTGTGGGAGGGGTTAGAATGGCAGTGGGACTCAGCCAGATCTTGAGCTGGGGCTGTGAGCATGACCCTCTTGACCCAAGATCACTGAAAAGCCAGAAGCTCCTGCTGACCTTGAACCCAATTAAAAAAAATATTTATTTCTTTGAAAGGCAGAGTTACAGTGAGAGGAAGAGAGACAGAGACAGACAGAAGTCTTCCATCCCCTGGTTTACTCCCTAAATGGCTGCAACAGCTGGGGCTAGGCCAGGCCAAAGCCAGGTCCCCCCGTGTGGGTACAGGGGCCCAAGCACTCAGGCCATCTTCTGCTGCTTTCCCAGTTTCATTTGCAAGGATCTGCATCAGAAGTGGAGCAGCCGGGTCTTGAACCAGCGCCCATATGCCCATATGGGATGTTGGCATTGCAGGCCGAGGCTTAACCTGCTATGCCACAATGTTGACCCCCCTCCCTTTTTTTTTTTTAAGATTATTTATTTGAAAGGCAGAGAGACAAAGATATGCCATCTGCTGGTTCACTCCCCAAATAGCTGCAATGGCTGGAGCTGGGCCATTCCAAAGCCAGGAGCCAGGAACTAGGCGTCCCATCCAGGTCTCCCACATGGGTGCAGGAGCCCAAGCACTGGGGCCATCTTCCGCTGCCTTCTCAGGCCATTAGCAGGGAGCTGGATCAGAAGTCGAGCGGCGGGGACCTGGCCTGGGTCTCACATGAGATGCCAACTGTTGCAGGCAGGGGCTTCAGCTGCTGTGCCACAGTGCCAGTCCCACCAAATTCTTCAAAGGGACAATTTGGGTGTCTTAATGAGAAAGCACCGCAGTGCTGGCCTCTGTGAGGCTCGGGGAGCAACTAACAAGGCACTAACAAGCTTTGGGGAGCCCCGCAGAGCGCTGGGCCAGGCTCCGCGTGGTCTGGGGGCTTGCGGGAGGCTGCAGAGCTACATGCGCAGGCGCACCCCGTAAGGGAAGGCGCACACGGGTTGCAGCCAGTATCCCACGCAGCGCCAGGCAGCCCTGCCCACTGAGCTATTCCGGGCGCCAATTCAGAGAGGAAGAGGAGGAGGAAGGGAAGGAGGAGGTATTTTCTTGAAAGGAAATCCCCTGGGAAATAAACTTAACATGCAGTCTTAGTGCAAACCAAAGTGGAAATGCCTTTTCCAGAAGTTGGTCAGGCCTGCGACACCTTGGGGAAGTGAAGGCTTGTGCCTGGCGACGTCAGGGCTTGGCACCCAAGAGCTGGGCAGCAGGCACCTGCCCGGAGTGAGCACCTGTGAGTGCTTCCTACCCACAGACAGCAACGTGTGGGGGACTCCCAGTCCAGAGAGGACGCAAGATGGTGACAGGACATCTGGGGCAAGTGAATTAGCAACATTTAGTACAAAGGGGAAATGGATGGAGGTTTCCGATTGGTTTAAGGTCAGCCAGAGGGACCAGCGTTGTGGTGCAGCAGCTGCCACGCTGTGAGCTGCCAACTGCATTACCAGCATCCCCTATCGGAGCGCTGGTTCAAGTCCTGGCTGCTCTGCTTCTGATTATCCAAGTGCTTTGGCCCCAGCCGTCCATGTGGGAGACTCAGATGGAGTTCCAGGCTCCTGGCTTCAATCTGGACCAGTCCTAGCTGTTGTAGCCATTTGGGGAGTGAATCAGCAGATAGAATATTCTTTCTCTCTCTCTCTCACTGTTACTCTGCCTTTTAAATAAATAAATAATTTAAAAAAAAAGCCAACCAGAACATTCGAGGTTGCTTTTTTTTTTTTTAAAGATTTTATTTATTTATTTGAGCGGTAGAGTTACAGACAGTGAGAGGAAGAGACAGAGAAAGGTCTTCCTTCTGTTCATTCCCCAACTGGCCGCAGCTGCCAGAGCTGTGCTGATCCAAAGCCAGGAGGCTGGGGCTTCTTCCGGGTCTCCCACATGGATGCAGGTGCCCAAGGACTTGGGCCATCTTCCATTGCTTTCTCAGGCCACAGCAGAGAGCTGGATTGGAAGAGGAGCAGCTGGGACTAGAGCCAGCACCCATATGAGACGCCGGTGCTGCAGGCGGAGGATTAACCTACTGTGCCACGGTGCCAGCCCCCTTGAGGTTGCTTTTTTTAATTTATTTTTATTTTTTGACAGGCAGAGTGGACAGTGAGAGAGACAGAGAGAAAGGTCTTCCTTTGCCGTTGGTTCACCCTCCAATGGCTGCCGCGGCTGGCGCACCGCGCTGATCCAAAGGCAGGAGCCAGGTGCTTCTCCTGGTCTCCCATGGGGTGCAGGGCCCAAGCACTTGGGCCATCCTCCACTGCACTCCCTGGCCACAGCAGAGAGCTGGCCTGGAAGAGGGGCAACCGGGACAGAATCTGGCGCCCTGACCAGGACTAGAACCTGGTGTGTCAGCGGTGCTAGGTGGAGGATTAGCCTATTGAGCGCGGTGCCAGCCCGACTTGAGGTTGCTTTTAACACTCTCTTTGTATGTCCTAACCTTGGGTGTATTAGGCGTCTGATAAAACTCAAGGGATTTGTGGATTTGGAGCCAGGTTTAACTGTGACCCCGTGAAGGTGAGCACTGAAGTAGACACGGGTGTATCAGATGCCTTTTTTGTATCCTCCACATTCCTTCAGGCTGGACCCTGATGTCACTCATGGCTGGAACATAGTTGTGTGTGGGCTTTGACTCATATCTTGCTGACAGCACCTCTCTGCACGTGTGAACTGTGTGTGCGCCTCTTTCCTTTTCTGCTCAGGCCTTCTCAGCGCATCGTTTGGGATGATAGCAGGTGTTGGCTCTGCACGCACCAAGGTGAAACCTACTGGCGGAAGGAGGCGGGCCTCCTGCATCACCCTGGGGAAGACTGCTGCCTGCCGAACAATGTAACTGGTCCATGGAGTGCGTCAGAAATGCATCCCTGATATATTGAGCCAGTGAGATTTAGGGGGTGTTTATGTACATGCGAGCCTACCCCAATTAACATACCACTGTGCACCTCTGGGGGGACCTGTTATGTAACTAGGATGTGAATGAGCCCTTTTGTAGCCGCCTAAGACGTAGCCTGCATTGCCTCACAGTGCCCCCTCTTGCCTCAGGGAGAGAGAAGCTAGAAATTCATTTTCCCAGGTCCCTTGCAGTTAGATACAAAACCTAGCCTCTGCTCTGCAGGTAAACATGTGCCA